CCGCTGAGCAGCCCCCCGCTCCGTCCCGGGGGCTCACCATCCCGCTGAGCAGCCCCCCGCTCCGTCCCGGGGGCTCACCATCCCGGTGCTCGTGGGGAAGCCAGTGGTGCTGGGCATCGCCATGCTCCAAATACAGGTCCCACTGTCTACACTGCTCCTCACGGAAGTCAGCCAGGGCGTCGGGGCAGTCCTGGGAGTTGCAGAGCTGGAAATCGTAGCCAAGGCCTGAGCAGGTGCGGCCCCCGTTGGCCGGGCTGCAGGAGGAAGGAAAGGCCTTGCAGCTCGGTGCCACCGGGAAGAGCCGGCGCATGGAGTGCCACTTGTGGAACTGTGGGGAGTCCTGCGTCCCAGGTGTGGGGAGGCAGCTACGCAGAGTGAAGGGACTCAGCCCAGCCCTGCCCCAGCTGCAGGCCCGGGCAATCCCCCACCGTCCACTAAGCATAAAGGGGCTGGTCACCCCTCCCCCTGGGGCCCCCGCAGGAAGGCAGCATCAGCTGGGCCCCCTGCATCCCCCCACCCCAGCCCCCATCGCTGTGACTGAGCCAACAGTGGGCTGTGGCTGGCTAAAGGTTCTGCCTTTCCTGGGACGTGACTCCAAGATGGAGGAGGTGGGGGAGTCTCAGGCCTGGGCCTGACCCATGCCGGGAACTCAAAGAACAATTCCAAACCAGCAGAAGCCCGCTGCCCAAGTTCCCAACGAGGGTCGGGAAGGCAGCAGACACTCTGTTCCCTGGCTTCCCCCCACCTCAGAGACCCGAACGCCCTCCCCTCGCTGAGAACAGCACTCGTCCACAAAGCACCAGCCCCACGGCGAAGGCCAGAAAGGGTGCTGGCTGGGGGCCAGCAGGTGCGTCTGGCAGGCGGGGCGGTGGGGCGCAGCAGGCCCGCACCCCAGGGGAGCTGGGGGCCTCGGCGTCGCCGTCCACCCGGCCTGCCTGCGCCGAGCAGAACCCGAGGCCCCACCGGAGACTCGGGCAAGGGTCACGCCGTGCCCACGTGACAGGGATGGTCAGTGTGGCCACGTGCAGCACAGCACAGTGGACAAGGAACGGGGCTGGTGTCCACGAGGCCTCTCCCCCAGGGCCATGTTCTTGAGGGGAAAAGTGATGCAAGACATCTGCGGAGAAAGCAGCAGGAGGCCTCCGTGTTGGGTGGGGTGGGTGACAAGAAGGAGCAGCTCAGAGATTTACACCAGGGCCACCACCCACGGGGTCCCGGGGGATGACAGCTCCGACCGGGGCGTCCCCAGGGCAGCGTGAGGTGTGGGGAGCGGCAGGAGGGAGGCGAACTGGTTCCAGCGGAGAGCCGTGCGAACTCCGAAATAGAAAGTGAGCTGGAGAGTTCGGGGGAGGTGGGCGAAGAAGACCGAGTGCAGAGCCGGGGACCAGACCGCCCGCGGTTTTGCGGTCAGAGTGGGGAGAGCCAAGGACACAGGGGGCGCCCGGGCCTGCGAGCAGGGCCACTGGGAACTGCGCATCTCCACGCTGGCCCCCACGCTGTGGGAAAGGCTGCGGACAGAGGAACTCAGGGAGCCACACCGTGCGGGACAGCGTCCGGTCTCGTGGTCGCCCCCGGCCCCCCAGGAGGATGCACGAAAGGGGAGGCGCGTGGGGCCCGCCTGGGTTGCTGACACACAGGCTGCGTGGAGCCCGGGAGCCCTGAAATGCTTGGACCCCGCAGCTGCCCGGGTCGCCCACCGATGCTGGTGGGAACAGTTGTCACCGCTCCCTGACAGCGCTGTCTGACCCTCACTGATGCGGAGTGGACACCGGCACTGGGCCTGACGGCTCTTGCTGCCACCAAGGAGGCTGGGGCAGCCGGAGCAGGAGAAGCTCCCTAGAGCACACAGGTGCGGACGGACAGAAGAACTTGGGGCCCGCCTCCCCAACCTCAAGCCTGGTCTGGGGATGAGTCCTCTGGACCCAATGTGCCCGGAGTGAGGCACCAGGCTTCAGGGCCTGGACGCCGGGGGGGGGGGGGGGGGGGCTGGGCCAGATCTGCCCTCTCGACTGTGCAGCCTGGACCCCAGTCACTCCATCGGCACATGAAGGGGCAGGAGAGACTAATCGCAGGTCTGAGGCTTGCAGCATGCCAGGCGCCATGCCGTGGGACGGGAACCCTGGCGGTCCTCACCCAGCACCCCAGAGCCTCTGAGGTTCTAACGTTCTGTCCTGTCAATCTCATATGTCATCCCGAGGCAGATATAATAGCCCCAGGGCCGCTTGAAAGGAGCGGGGACCGGGTACTTTGCACCTGACCAGGATGGGGCCTGGAGCCCTCAGGTAGGAATTGGTCAGAAGCAGGAGGAGAGTTCTCCAGACATGAGCTGGTGCCTCCGGGCTTTGGGCTTTCCTACTGCTGGACCCCAGGGCATGGGTCCCTTCCCGACCAGTGTGGACTCTACATCTCTCCCCAGAGCCAAGACTGCTGACCCCCTCTGGCTCCCTGGGGGCCGGCTCAGGGCCTGGCCAAGCGGGGGCCCGGGAACTGTTGCAGAGGCCGGAGCCCAGCCCATCTGGAAGGGCCTTAGAGACCTGTGGGGCTTAAATTTGGGGTCACGGGCTACTTTGAGAAGTTGATACGAAACTAGAGACCTGCTCCCCCAGAAAAACACACGTGTACATAAAGTCATACCCAATCCTGGGAGGCCGTGGTGGGACCCAAGGCAGGGTGATGAGCCTAGGACTCAGGCTTAGGGCTTAGGGCCCCAACCCAAATATTGAGGGGGTCCAGGTGGGTGGAGGAGGTGAGTGAAGACGGCTGGGCCGGGCTGCCCCATGAAGGGGGCGGTCTGAGTCTTTCATCGCCCACCAGCCTGTATTTGGGCCTGGTGTTGCAGGGATGCCCAATCTGGAAGCTGTAAATAGGATTCTCTCTCTCTCTCTCTCTCTCTTTTTTTTTATGTGAAATTTCAGATATTTTTGTATTTTCCTGTGAACCAAGATCTTTAAAACACCAAACAGGCCAAAGAAAGAAAGACAAAAGCCACACGTTTTCTGGCAGCCATGGGGCCTCCCTGGGGCAGGCGGAAGACCAGAGGGAGTGGTCATCTGGCGGGGGGGGTCCCATTCCCATGACTGTACGTGCACCCACAATCCATGAGGTAGGCTGCCTGAGCCCCGGGGGGCTCACCGATGCACCCTGAGTCACACACAGCTGCAGGGACCCGGGTGCTCTGGCCGCACGCCCTCCCTTTCCACGGGCAGTGCACTGGGTGAGGCAAGGTGCAGGACTGGCCGGGGCCCAGACCTGAGGGATATTCACAGGGTGGAGTGGCATGGGGGGCATTAAAGGAACCTGGGGGAGGACAGCACGGCACAGGCAGGAGGGGGAGCACGGCTGGGCGTGGGAGCCTGGCAGGCACGGGGGCAGCCCCCTAGGCGAGCTCTACCATACACGCCCGGGGTGGCATGTCGCTGACCCTGCCTCTCGCCTGCCATCCGGGAGCTCAAGAGGACCCTCTTCCTTATCCCCATTTCCCCGTTGCTGCTACACCTTCTGTCTTCCATGCCCTTGACCAAGAAGGGCAGAGTAAGTTGGTGGCTAGAGCAGAGTGCGGCTCAGGTCGGGGGGAATGGCCCCAGGCCAGCAGCCCAGGAAATGGAGGTTTCCGAGCCTCCAGGGCTGGCTCTGCCCCAGCAGGCTGTGCGACCTGAGGCAAGACCCTCCCCCCTCTGAGTCTTTGCTTCCTCCCAGGGATGGTGACGAGGAGCCCGGACTGCCTGCCCTGACACCCTCTCCAGAAGTGGTGGACAGCCACGGGGGCCCTGCAGGATAGGGCCGGCCGGCAAGGGGCCAGTGAGGGCCTCGGGGACCTCAGTGACCATACAGGAGGCTGGGAAACAGCAGGGCCAGCTCACTGTGGGTTGTCACACTGGCGGGTCCTGAACTTCACACCGGTCCCGCAGGTGCGCGAGCAGGAGCCGAACGGACTCCAGGCGCCCCAGTTGCCATCTCGTTTGAGGATGTCGGGCGTCAGCCAGATGCAGTGTCCTTTAAAGCAGTGCTGAAAGACAGAAGGTCACTCCTAGGACCCACCGTTCCAGGGCCACTCGGATGCCCCATACTCTTCAGCCTGCAGTTCCCTTGATGTCTGCTTGGCCCTGGAGGAACTGGGCGAGCAGACCCCGCATCCCCCTAGAAGCTCAGAGCCCCCCATCAGGAGGCCCAGCGAGGTGCTGGCCCGCCCCGCTCCCCCTGATCGCCGCCCCGGCCGCCCACCATCCTCCACGTCTTGTCCAGCCTACTCTGTCCCCTCAGCCCGAGCCTGCCCCACACCCCACACCGTGTCTGCGGGCGAAGCCACAGGCGTGCCCACACAGGGCACGTTCACCAAGAAGCAACCGGCCCATCAGGCCACCGACTCCAGAGACTTACAGGACCTACCTGCCCGTGCTTAAAGGACACACAATGCAAATGAAGGTCGGGTGACAAGCTGACATGAAACATTCATGAAGGCAGTGAGCACAACACCGGCGCTCGGGGAACACAGACCTACAGCTCGACTCTGCTCACACTGCCTCCCACGGGGAGGACGCTTACACAACTTAGGGCCACTTTGGGAAGAGGATTACAACATGTAAAATCCTACATCAGATCAAAAAAGGAATGCTGATTTAGAACAAGCAAAGACATCACAAAAAGTTAAAAATTTAACAATGGACCAATACCACACACAACCAAAAGCAAAGAACAAGGATGTTTTTCAAATGAACCGACTGCCACAACTTTTCCTGCAATTCTGAAAGCATACTTGTCCATCCCCTCTTCATATGACCCCCGAGCCATGGGTGCAGGTGCAGGAGCTGGATGGACTCCAGGTGCCCCGGCTGCTCTCTGGTTTCAGGAGGTCATTTTGTAGGTTTGTCTTCCATATGGTGAATAGAAAGATAATGCCGCCATTCCTCAGCAAACTTTCTCTGTAAGGGCCGGTGGCTATTTTGGCTACGTGATCTCAGTTTTAACTACTCAGCTCTGCCACCAGAGCATGACCGCAGCTATAGACCACACATCAGTGAATGGACATGGCTGTGTCCCAATAAAACTTTATTTACAAAAACAGGCAGCAAGTGGAAATGTCTACAGTGGACCTATAAGGAGCTTGGTGAACTCCATCCTCAGTAAGATAACCACTTAACTGGTGAACATTATTTTTTTTTAAAGATTTTATTTATTTATTTGAGAGAGAGAGAATGAGAGAGAGCACATGAGAGGGGGGAGGGTCAGAGGGAGAAGCAGACTCCCTGCCGAGCAGGGAGCCCGATGCGGGACTCGATCCAGGGACTCCAGGATCATGACCTGAGCCGAAGGCAGTCGCTTAACCAACTGAGCCATCCAGGCGCCCTGGTGAACATTATTTTTAAAGAACAACCACTTAGGGCACCTGGGTGGCTCAGTCGTTAAGCGTCTGCCTTCGGCTCAGGTCATGATCCCAGGGTCCTGGGATCAAGTCCCACATCGGGCTTCCTGCTTGGCGGGAAGCCTGCTTCTCCCTCTCCCACTCCCCCTGCTTGTGTTCCTGCTCTCGCTATCTCTCTCTGTGTCAAATAAATAAATGAAATCTTTAAAAAAAAAAAAAAAAAGAACAACTTAAAGTATCTGGAAATTGTCCTAAAGTCGACACAACAAATAGAGAAATGTTTGTTCAAGAAACACTATTCAAGATCTATGAAATCTTGGTAAGAACAGTGGAAGTCCATGGCATTTGGCCACAGCTGTTGCCCATACCTTCCCCCCAGCTCAGGGGGCCAGAAGCTTTACTGCCTAGAAGATGGAACTATCTATCCTCCCTGCTCCCAGCCTGGAGCTATGGTTTGACCCTGGGAAAGGCAAGCCACTGGCACCTCCCAATTCATAACTCGGTGTTACAGAAAGTCGATTCCAGACAGTAGAGGCCAAGAGGACTGGGGCTCCCATTGCTAGGTGAAGACTCTACCCCAGGGATGTCAGGCCAGGAATACTGGACCCTGACAGCCCCTTTCCCAGCTTGCTTGTAGGGCAGAGGTCCCATTCTAAAGAGAAAAAGCCAAGAAGAGTAGGGGCTGCCATCCCCATCCAGTGATGCACTCGTAGGCCAGGATGTCACTCTGGGAGAAGTGGGCCACCTGGCCCCTCGTCCCAGTGCAGTGATGCAGCAGTCTTCCCAGAGGGAGAGGGAGAACAGCCAGCCCCATAGCTCCCCCTAAGGGGACTGACCTTATTTGGAACAGAGCATGGGGAAGTTCATACCTACAGGCATTGTCTAAAACAACAGAAATCTTGGTAGTGAGTTGAGCAACTAAGAGGAGGCCAGGAGATCCATGATGCTAGTAGCAAAAAGTAAAATGGTAAAACAACCAATAGCATAACAAAAAGAACCAAGGCAAGACAGCTAAGAGACCTCCTGGGGTCTGAGTAAGGCTCAAAGACTGGCAACATCCTGCTTTTGTGAAAGGCTCAGAATTTCACTGGGTCATACTGTGGACAAGTTGTACTTGAGGGCATTCTCAAAACCACACAGGAGCCAGTTAGCAGCTGGTGAAATCTAACTGGGTGACACCAGCAGAGACTTACCAGGAAAATCAGAGAAGGAGACAGAGAGAACCTGCCTAATACCACTGTGGGAATGGGGGGCCTGTCTGGTCAGGGAGACAATGCACAGGCCCAAGGCTGTGACCTCTGGGGGGCGGGCAGTATCAGCAGCTGCATACTGCAGGGCAAACAAATACAGTTTATGGAAAGAGTGTGGCCGAGTCGCTAAACAAATAAACAAGCAAACAAGCAAACAACAGCACAACAAGGTCCAGGGGCATCAATATCCAGAGTCTCTTCAATGTATTATCTACAATGTCCAGTTTCCACCAAAATTTCTGAGACATGAAAGGAAACAGGAGATTGTGATCTGCACATGGGAAAGTAAGCGGGTAACAGAAACTACCTTTGAGGAGGTCCAGATGTTGGACTTATAGCAGGCAGATTTCAAAACAGCTCCAAGAACAAAAGGGAACCATGTCTAAAGAACAGAAGGAGAGGAAAGGACAAGTCTCACCAAATAGAGAACATCAGGAAAGAGGAAGAAACTACTATGAAAATGTAAACAGAAATTCTGGAGTTGAAAAGGTCAAAAACTGAAGTGATAAATTCACCAAGGGCTCAGCAATAGATCTGAGCTGACAGAAGACAGAGTCCGTGAACCTGAATACAGATCAGTAGCAATTCTGCAATCTGAAGAGCAGAGAGAAAAAAGAATAAATAAAAATGAACAGAGCCTCTGAGAAACATGGGGGGACCACTGAAGTGCCAGAAGGACAGGAAACAAAAAGGAGCAGAAAATATTCAAAGACATGATGGCTGAAAACTTCTAAAATTTGATGGGGAAAAAAATTAACCTATACACCCAAGAAATTTAACCAACTCCAAGTAGAATAAATGCAAAGAGAGCCATACCCCGACACATTATAGTCAAGCTGGTGAAGGACAAAGAAAATGTCGAAAGCAGCAAGAGGAAAAAGACTCATCGTGTATAAGGAAAGCCAAATAAAATCAAGAGCTGATGTTTACTCAGAAGTAATGCAGGTCAGAGGTAGTGGTACTAACCAAGGATAACCAATAAAACTATCTCTCAACAATGAAGGTAAGACAAAAATATTCCCACACAAACAAAAGGAGGAGAATTCATGGCTAGCAGATTGCCTTGTAGGAAAACACTAAAGGAAATTATTTAGGTTGAAAGCAAGTGACGCCAAAGAATAATTCAAATCCACATGAAAAAAACAAAGAGTGCTGGAAATGGACAATTTTCTAGAAAAACACAGACTACCAAAACTGATTTAATAAGATACAGAAAACCAGAATAGACCTATAATAAGTAAAGAGAGTAAATGAGTGATTTAAAAGTTCCCATAAATAATAGCCCAACCCCAGATGGCTTTGATGGCGAATTCTACCAAATGTTTAAAGAAAAATTAACACTACTCCTTCATGAACTCTTCCAAGATACAGAAGAAAAAAGAAATTCCCTAACTCATTCTATGAGGCTAGCAGTACCCTACCACAAGAAAAAACTGCAGACCAATATCTCTTATGAAAATAGACACAAAAATCCTCAACAAAATCCTAGCAAATTGAATCTAAGAGCATATTAAAAGTTTATACACCACGACCAAGTGAAGTTTATCCCAGGAGTGCAGGGTTTAATATCTGAAAATCAATCGGTGTAATAAGCCATATTAACAGAATAAAGAACAAACTGTACGATTGCCTCAAGACTCAAAAAAAGAAATCTGGCAATAGCCAACATCCTTTCCTGAAAACACACACACACACACACACACACACACACACACACACACCCAGACAAGGAATAGAAGAGAATTTCCTCAATCTGATAAAGAACATCGAGGAACTACCCATAGCTCACATCATGCTTAATGATGAAGGGATGAATGATTCCCCCCTATGATCAGGACCAAGACTTCTACTCAACACTGTACTGGAAGTTCTAGCCAGGACAAGTAGACTTGGCATCCAGATCAGAAAAGAAGAAGTAAAACTATTTCTATCTGCAAATGACCTAATCTTATATATAGAAACTTCTAAAGAACTCACTAAAAAACTATTAGATCTAATAAAGAAATTCAGTGAGATTGCAGGGCACAAGATCAATATAGTAAAATCAACTGTATTTCTATGAACAGTTTATCCTATGAATGGACTGGAAGTTAAGAATCTATCTATAGGGGCGCCTGGGTGGCTCAGTCGTTAAGCGTCTGCCTTCGGCTCAGGTCATGATCCCAGGGTCCTGGGATCGAGCTCTGCATCGGGCTCCCTGCTTGGCAGGAAGCCTGCTTCTCCCTCTCCCTCTCCCCCCTGCTTGTGTTCCCTCTCTCACTGTGTCTCTCTCTGTCAAATAAATAAATAAAATCTTAAAAAAAAAAAAAAGAATCTATCTATAATAGCATCAAAAAGAAGACCAAAAAACCTTAGTAATAAATTGAACAAAAGAAGTATAAAACATGCACAATGAAA